CTGTGATTTTGGTGTAAATTTTTGGGGCCGTTTTGGTGTGATTTTAGGGTATTTTGGTGTGATTTTGGGGTGTTTTTGCTGTGATTTTGGTGTAAATTTTTGGGGCCGTTTTGGTGTGATTTTAGGGTATTTTGCTGTGATTTTGGTGTAAATTTTTGGGGCAGTTTAGGGTATTTTGCTGTGATTTTGGTGTAAATTTTTGGGGCAGTTTAGGGTATTTTGCTGTAATTTTGGGCCGTTTTTGCTGTGATTTTGGTGTGAATTTTTGGGGCAGTTTAGGGTATTTTGCTGTGTTTTTGGGGCCGTTTTGCTGTGATTTTGGTGTGAATTTTTGGGGCAGTTTAGGGTATTTTGCTGTGATTTTGGTGTAAATTTTTGGGGCACTTTTAGGGTATTTTGCTGTGATTTTGGGGCCGTTTTTGCTGTGATTTTGGGCCGTTTTTGCTGTGATTTTGGTGTAAATTTTTGGGGCAGTTTAGGGTATTTTGCTGTAATTTTGGGCCGTTTTTGCTGTGATTTTGGTGTAAATTTTTGGGGCAGTTTAGGGTATTTTGCTGTGATTTTGGTGTAAATTTTTGGGGCACTTTTAGGGTATTTTGCTGTGTTTTTGGGGCCGTTTTTGCTGTGATTTTGGTGTGAATTTTTGGGGCAGTTTAGGGTATTTTGCTGTGTTTTTGGGGCCGTTTTGCTGTGATTTTGGTGTGAATTTTTGGGGCAGTTTAGGGTATTTTGCTGTGATTTTGGTGTAAATTTTTGGGGCACTTTTAGGGTATTTTGGTGTGATTTTGGGGTATTTTGGTGTAAATTTTTGGGGCAGTTTTGGTGTGATTTTAGGGTATTTTGGTGTGATTTTGGGGCCGTTTTGCTGTGATTTTGGGGCCGTTTTTGCTGTGATTTTGGGGTGTTTTTGGGGCCGTTATGGTGTGAATTTTTGCTGTGATTTTGGGGCCATTTTGGTGTGAATTTGGGGCAGTTTTGGTGTGAATTTTTGGGGCACTTTTAGGGTATTTTGGTGTGAATTTGGTGTATTTTGGTGTAAATTTTTGGGGCAGTTTTGGGGTATTTTGGTGTGATTTTGGGGCAGTTTTGGTGTGAATTTTTGGGGCACTTTTAGGGTATTTTGGTGTGATTTTGGGGCAGTTTTGGTGTGAATTTTTGGGGCCGTTTTGGTGTGAATTTGGGGCCGTTTTGGTGTGAATTTTTGGAGCAGTTTTGGTGTAAATTTTTGGGGTGTTTTTGGGGTATTTTGGTGTGTTTTTGGGACCATTTTGGTGTGATTTTGGGGTATTTTGGTGTGATTTTGGGGCAGTTTTGGTGTGATTTTGGGGCAGTTTTGGTGTGAATTTTTGGTGTGATTTTGGGGTATTTTGCTGTGATTTTGGGGCTGTTTTGGTGTGAATTTTTGGTGTGATTTTGGGGCAGTTTTGGTGTGATTTTAGGGTATTTTGGTGTGATTTTGGGGTATTTTGCTGTGATTTTGGTGTAAATTTTTGGGGCGATTTTAGGGTATTTTGCTGTGTTTTTGGGGCGTTTTTGCTGTGATTCTGGTGTAAATTTTTGGGGCCGTTTTGGTGTATTTTGCTGTGATTTTGGGGCCGTTATGGTGTGAATTTTTAGTGTGATTTTGGGGTGTTTTGGTGTGAATTTGGGGCCGTTTTGCTGTGATTTTGGGGCCGTTTTGCTGTGATTTTGGTGTAAATTTTTGGGGCAGTTTAGGGTATTTTGCTGTGATTTTGGTGTAAATTTTTGGGGCAGTTTAGGGTATTTTGCTGTGATTTTGGTGTGAATTTTTGGGGCAGTTTGGGGTATTTTGCTGTGTTTTTGGGGCCGTTTTGCTGTGATTTTGGTGTAAATTTTTGGGGCAGTTTAGGGTATTTTGCTGTGTTTTTGGGGCCGTTTTGCTGTGATTTTGGTGTGAATTTTTGGGGCAGTTTGGTGTATTTTGCTGTGATTTTGGGGCCGTTTTTGCTGTGATTTTGGTGTAAATTTTTGGGGCTCACTCTGGCAGCGGTCGCAGAACCCGGGGCCGCCGCGCTCGCAGGAGCTGTGGAAGTTGCAGCCGCAATCCACCGAGCACTGGGGGGGCTCCTGGGACCCCCCCGAGGAGGAATTTTGGGGTTTGGGGTTGGTCCAGCCCAGGTGACAAACGCAGGTGAAGTTGGGGGGTCCCGAGCAGAATCCGTGGCCGCAGTCGGAGAAACACCTGCAGGGGGAAAAAACTCTCAGACACCCCAAAAACACCCGAAATTTCACATTTCTGACACCAAAAAACACAAAATTCCCAATTCCTGACCCCAAAAACCCCAAAATTCAGGATTCCTGACCCCAAAAAACCACAGAATTCAGGATTCCTGAACCCAAAAAGCCCAAAATTCCCAATTCCTGACCCCAAAACCCCACAAAATTCCCAATTCCTGACCTCAAAAACCCCCAAAAATTCCATTTTTTCCCCATTTCCCCCCCACTTTTTCCCCATTTTTTCCTCATTTTTCCGTCATTTTTATTCCCCACTTTTCACCCATTTTTCCCCAATTTTCCCCCATTTTTTCCCATTTTTCCCAAATTTCTTTCCCATTTTTCCTCCATTTTTTCCCCCAATTTTCCCCATTTTTTCTTATTTTTTCCCCATTTTCCCCCCATTTTCCCCCATTTATTTCCCCATTTTTTCCCAATTTTTCCCCATTTTTTCCCCCATTTCTCCCCATTTTTTTTTCTATTTTTCCCCATTTTTTCCCCCATTTCTCAGACAATTTTCCCCATTTTTTTAATGTTTTTTCCCCAATTTTTTTCCTAATTTTCCCCCATTTTTCCCCATTTTCTCCCCATTTTTTTTCCTATTTTTCCCCCAATTTTTTCCCCATTTTCCCCCATTTTTCCCCATTTTTTCCCTCATTTTCCCCCATTTTCCCCCATTTTTCCCCCATTTTCCCCCATATTTTCTCCAATTTTTTTCCAATTTTTCCCATTTTTCCTCCATTTTTCCCCATTTTTCTCCCATTTTTCCCCATTTTTCCCCCAATTTTTTTTTCTATTTTTTCTCCATTTTTTCCCTCATTTTCCCCCATTTTCCCCCATTTTTTCCCCATATTTTCTCCAATTTTTTCCCCATTTTTCCCGCATTTTTTTTCCCATTTTCCCCCATTTTTCCCCCTTTTTTCCCCATTTTTCCCCCATTTTTCCCCATATTTTCTCCAATTTTTTTCCAATTTTTCCCCCATTTTCCCCCATTTTTCCCCCTTTTTTTCCCCATTTTTTTCCATTTTTTCCCCATATTTTCTCCAATTTTTTTCCAATTTTCCCCCATTTTTCCCCGTTTTTCCCCATTTTTTTTCTATTTTTTCTCCATTTTTTCCCCCATTTTCCCCCATTTTTTCTCCAATTTTTCTCCATTTTTTCCCCATTTTTTCCCCATTTTTCCCCCATATTTTCCCCCATTTTTCCCCCATTTTTTTTTCTATTTTTTCTCCATTTTTTCCCCCATTTTCCCCCATTTTTTCTCCAATTTTTCTCCATTTTTTTCCCCATTTT